TAATATTATTTAATGGACCTAAGCTAACATGAACTAACAAAAAACAGTTGCATTTTTATTATACTGTATTTTTATTTTATTTTTATTTGTTCTATTTTTGTCTGTTGTATCAGGGTGTCGCAGAGGCTGAACTGGAGAAAAACCTTGAGCGAACCTTCAAACTGATGTTCATTGCAAGTAATGAAACTGTAAGTTTCTGAGTTTCATTTTACATTAAAGTGATGAAATTAGTTGACAAACGTAAACTAAACAAAAATGAGAAATGTTTAAGTTGAAGCACTAAAATTACTAACTGGAAATAAATAAACCAAAACTGAAATAAAAATAAATTAAACCTAAATAGTAATATAAAAAAGAAAGAAAGAAAAATTTAAAATAAGTAAAAATAACAAAAACACATAATTTTTTATAAGCAAATTTAAAATATGATATGCTTTTATAGTATAAATAATACTAAAATAACACTGGATTAGCATGAAAAAGCACAAAGACCATTACTATATGTGTCTGAATGGGACAAATCACTATATTTATGTTCAACATAATATTATTTAATGGACCTAAGCTAACATGAACTAACAAAAAACAGTTGCATTTTTATTATACTGTATTTTTATTTTATTTTTATTTGTTCTATTTTTGTCTGTTGTATCAGGGTGTCGCAGAGGCTGAACTGGAGAAAAACCTTGAGCGAACCTTCAAACTGATGTTCATTGCAAGTAATGAAACTGTAAGTTTCTGAGTTTCATTTTACATTAAAGTGAATTTCATTAGAGTTAGATGCAAAGCTGAGAAAGAAACTCTTTTTTTCATACAATGACAATTTATATTGACCATGTCTGCCAGGCTTAGAATGGGAAAAACACCATTAAAGTGTTTTGGTATATAAGACAGTTACACTATATTCCATGTTTTCTGAAGCATTATGATAGCTTTGTGTTAGCAGTATTTCTTTAATGTGTTAAATGATTCTTTAAAAGAGGTTATTGGTCACTTGTGAGTATTTATGAAGTTAATAGATGACCCAGATTTCCTCAAGTTCATAATCATGCATGCATTTTAAAAAGTAGTTCAATAAAGTAGTTATAATTCATGTTGCACCAGCAAGCATCTTGACTGAGCACGATCCTCGTGCATGAGTAAAATTCTCCCTTCATCTGAAGTGACACGGTTATCTGTTAGATATTTACATTGCTTATCGCCGGCATCAGAAAGCCAGCGCTGAGGGAGATCAAAGAGGCATTAAATTGTTGGTCATCCAGTGTGCTTGACCAATGCCTTTCTGTCTTCTTTTGTTGTGGTGGACCTTTGAAGAGCTCTTTGAAACTTTGTTATGATTGAGAAAGAACTGTATTACTGAATGCAGTTGACAAACCTGGAAGTGCACTATATATAGTATGTGAATGCCCCCTTCTAACTATATATAACTTGGCTGTAATGTTAATGTCTGTGAGGACAAATCGTAATGCTACAACATACAGTGGCATTCTAGGAAATTCTATTCTTTCTAATTTATAGGTTTTCTATTTTAGCATGGTAAAGCCTCTGTGCACAAATGTAGAAATTATTTACTAAGTCTGGTGCATGGTTTTTATGCTTGACTAAGAATGAATCTATTAACAACATTTTGAAATAAATACAGCTGAAATAAAATAAAAATCTGATGAAATTAGTTGACAAACGTAAACTAAACAAAAATGAGAAATGTTTAAGTTGAAGCACTAAAATTACTAACTGGAAATAAATAAACCAAAACTGAAATAAAAATAAATTAAACCTAAATAGTAATATAAAAAATAAATAAATAAAAATAAAAAATAAGTAAAAATAACAAAAACACATAATTTTTAATAAGCAAATTTAAAATATGATATGCTTTTATAGTATAAATAATACTAAAATAACACTGGATTAGCATGAAAAAGCACAAAGGCCATTACTATATGTGTCTGAATGGGACAAATCACTATATTTATGTTCAACATTTATTGAAAAGTCTTCCCAGAAGAGAAGATGCTGTTAGCAAGCAATAACTTATTCTAAAAGAAATGCTTTTGGTCATATATTCTACTTCTTAGCCATGCAGAACAAAATGAAACACCTTGCAATGTTTGTCAGCATTCAGAATTTATTAAAGGGCTCCCATCCGGGACTCTGATCCTGGACTAATGAATCACAAATGGCAGGCCGGCCATCGTTCAGGCTCAGGTAGCCACACGCTGCATCTTAATGAGTGTGTGGGCCGGCGTGTCGGGGCAGATGGGGATCTAGACACAACCCCCTTCTGCTGCACCACGTCCCACCGATAAAACCAGGAAATCACCTCGGAGGAGGGGGGACACAAGCCATTAATTGCATTCACACGTATCAATGCTATTTATCCAACAAAGAACCACTTTATTTATACAACAGTCATTTGAAGGAAACAAGTAAATATCTTTCATTTTTAATTTAAATGGGAACATCAAGTATTTTTAACATATGTTGTCTTTTGATGGTGTCTAGGGTGTTGTTATGAATGTTGTTGATTAGTTTCTGTGATATTCTAGTCTTATTATATGTAATTCTGGGATTTTTTTTAGCCCATTTTATGGTCCGCCAGGTGAAAATTGTAAGTCTGATCGCTTAGAAAAGTAATAGCACAGATTTCCTCAACCAGCTGCTCATTTTTTGAGGTGTAATTCGCATCCTTACTACGTAGCAGCACCTTTTATAAAGGAAAGGACCTGTAGTCTCTTATT